ACGGGCCGGATTTTTACCCCCGGAATTTTACCCCCGGAATTTTACCCCCCGGAATTTTACCCCCTGGCTGATTTTAGAAATTGAATGATTGATTTTCTTATTTCTGTTTTTAATTAATTGTAAACATTTCATTATTTAGTAGCCTATCTTTATTTATTTATTTTGTAATCTCAACTAAGTAAACAGAATTCGCTGTTTTATTTTGATCATATTAACCAACAGCTGGCTTCAAAGATTGAATCCTGACACTCGAATCTCAAAATTAATATTAAAACCCTGTTCGATTAGTTAATGTTACATATAAATTAAGATAGGCTACTTAATAATAAAATGTTTACCATTAAATTAAAACTGAATGACGATAATTAATCATTCTCACTAATTTATATCTGACCAGGGGGTAAAATTCCGGGGGGTAAAATTCCGGGGGGTAAAATTCCGGGGGTAAAATTCCGGGGGTAAAATTCCGGGGTTAAAAATCCGGGCCGTACATTCTAGGTTTTTATAATTTGATGTGTTCTGATTAAACTCACAACCGTGAAAATATATGTTTAATTCCGCGTTTAATCCATCGAGCTGATGTCGCGAAACTCAAAAGTTCGCGGCCGGAATTTTACCCCCTGGTTTGTGACGTCACGTTTGCCCAGGGGGTAAAATTCCAGGGGGATAAAAATCCGCTACCCCGCGTTAAACTATAAAATAAACACTGCGTCATGCAGCGTCAATGCTGGCTGATAGAATTAGTAGTGTTGCCATCTTGTTTTAGGCTAAAAAGACCATGTCGTTATAGTAACCAGAATAGACACACACTATATTATTTTACAACTGTAAGCTTTGTGTACAATCTTATATACTAAAAAACTTTTGCAAAACTTATGACAGTTAGCATGACTATACTACTGGACCGAATTACACGCGGTTGGTACCAAATGAAAGATATTTACCTGTAGATGTGCAGATTCCCTTTTTTAAATTAAAATATGCTCAAAAATAAGAATAAAAATCAATTTAAAGTTTTAAAAAAATTACATGGACTTTATGGGTTGCGATGTTGGTGACAAAGTAACAACAAAATATAAACAGAAAATCAAAACAAATGGAAGAAATTCCTATCACACATTTTATTTACAGTATGGGGTGAAAATAGAAAAGTTTGCACAATACATACTTTTGGTCGAGTTTTCGACTACGGGGCGAGCTCTCGTTTCAGACTAATTGGTCCAGTTGAGTATTATATGTCCATACATATTTATATTTTTAAGTAGATGACTTAGTTCTGAACGGCAGCGAGGTAAGAGTGACTAATAGCACAGTTATAAGTCCCTAATACTCCTAATGGTTAGCAGCATTTGTTGAATCACATGTTGTTTATTAACAATACACGATCACTCATCTACAAAGACTACCGACCGTTCTGCATTACCTTTCATCTACATATGTTTGACTGTTGTTTAAAACAGCTTGTCTCATCCATTCACAGCTTTCGTTTACCTTTTAAGATCTGAAGATTTAAAGCCATAACGCGACTGGTCATCTTCTTTAATGCCCTTTCTCTTTTGGTGCAAATTGAAGATTGCTAGATTGATTTATTTGTATGCATTTATTTTATTATTTACCAAGTGGTTATGCTCACCTTAAATCTGAGGGTCGCTGATTCGATTCCGCGAGATCAACTGGAATTTGCCATTGGGACTTGCAATTATAATGCTATCGACCAAATTTTCGACATTTGAATGGTAAAAAGGCTAGGGTAAAAATGCCACTGCCGTAGGAAAAATAGATATAATAAAAAATATATATATCTAAATAATTTCTAGAAAAAATAACAAAAACTATAGTTTTAAGCCTTCACGATACCTTTTTATCATGTATCATGTTGTATTATAAATACTGTAGAACGTTTAATTTTAAATATACAGTAGTAGTTTTATTCAACTCAACCGGTATGTTATTAATAAATGGAGCAATACTTTAAAAAATAACCTTGGAAAATGTACATTTGCAAGGGTTTGAAAAGAGAAGAAGGAGGGACAATTAACACAGAAATAACCAATGCCCTTAATTCATGATACCCTCCATCTAAATATTACTAGATTTATTTTTCCTGCTGCAACTCCTCCAGATATAAGTTTTGTAACAGCGAACAAGAAAAATGAGGCGAAGCTGCACTATTATTCAACTGTTAATTTACAATTATACTTGATGTATAACCTTAAGTATGTATAACAAATAAGTCTATGACTATGATGGAATGACTTCCACAGTTGGTTCTGTAGATGACTTGTACGTCCGTGGACCTCGCATCAAATTTGTTCGAGTGTATATAGTCAATTGTGTAACCCAGACTCATATCAACTCGTAACCCAGCCACATACTGCGAAATAGGAAGTGTCACAGAAAATGGCGGGTAATTTAAAGAAGGCTTTGACTATCATCAATTTTCAAGTAGCTGAACTACAGGAGTTATGGGGGGTTCCAGAAGATCTCCGGCTCGATATTGAGAAAAGTGGAACTCTTGTTGTATAGCTCGAAAGTGTACCTATTTGATCTTGATCATTGGTACCTTAATAAATAATAAAAAAAAATAGTTAGTATTAGTAATTGGTAAAACTAAACAAGACACCAGTTTCCATTCCACTCAAATATCTTTCTTATTCTGTATTTGGGTTAAATACTCTTTGTTGCATTTTAATATAATGTTACACAATTATTTTAGTTTATTGAGAGATATTTAGCTGCAATTTTCGCATTACTTAGTTGACATTCACGATATGTATGTGAACAGTACATAAGGATTAGGGAAGGGAAAGCAAAGTATAATAGCAATATAAGTTTTTAAAGTGTAATACAAAATGAATTAGAATGTATGTATTGAGTTACATACATTGGTGAAACACGCTGTAAATTGAGTTATACAACTCGATAACAAATATAAATTGATGGGTGACGATGAAAATAATCTCTATTCAGTTCAAAGATTGGTGAGCAATGTGTACTTCGGAATTTAGGTCGTATACATCGCCAACACAAATATCCTACTCATTGCAAAACAATGTACGTAACATTTTGAGTAAAAAATTTTACTAATATTCCTTCCCTAACGTTTGATTTATCAATTAAAAAATGGAGTTTTGTAGATTCTAAAAATGAATACATGGATAACTAAATAAAAATAACATGCAAACGTTTCAAAAAAGGGATTTAACACCTTGAACTATAAGGGTGAAAAATAGTCTACTACTTTAAACATTCCCTATCCATTTGTTTATCGTTATTTGTGTAATATGTAGCCACAATAATCCTAAAACTTTAACCTTAAGGCTAAATGACGTCACTCCAATAAGCTGTGATGGTCCAGCAGCGCAGTTAATGATGAACTGTCTTCATTATTCCTTAATTTGGGCAATCTAAGCCTCACACGTAGCCCGTTCCATCTTGTAGGAACATTAACATTATCTGGACCTCAGCCTCAGTCCAATGTCCGCAAGTTGTGTAACAAGTCTAGACCTGGCGATGGGAAAGGTCAGTAAAATTATGTATCTTTTTCATTAAGGAATTATTTTTAGGTTAAGATAAAATAATAAGACAGTTGACTTATACTGGTCAATGCAAGAGTAATGAGGTTAAATTCTTCATTTACAAAAAATGTCCTAAAGCTACGCAATCTATGTGCTGTTGCCTTCTTACATACTTTGGAGAAAGTATAACTAAATCTCCTGAAATATGCCTTAACAAGTAAAATAAAGTTTAAGATAAATAAATTTAATGTCTATGACATTATTTGTGCATTTCGTTGACTATTTCCGGATAATTAGTTTTCTGATCATTAAATTAATTGTACTGTATGCGATTCTGATTCGGATTTTACCTTTTTGTTCACCAAGAGAGTTTTTGGTGGGTTGTTAAACAAAATACAGTTAAAACATATTTTTTTAGTTTTTAAATCATTTTCATTTTGTAATGTGTTCATTTAAAGCTTTATTGTGTTTTTAATCTTAGTACATACAATAATTGAGATATTATATATGCACTATCAATACAAATTATATGAACATATTTTTTAATAGGCCCTACTAATGTTTTCTGAAATGTGTTTGTTGATAAATATGTGGTAGTTCATTTTTTATAATATTATTCATTATAAAATATATTCATATTACATAATATAATTATATATTTATATTATATTAATTCAAATATATTTAATTAATTATATGTAAAAATCTCCTTATCTCGACCATAGTACTATTTACCTCTTTGTCCTCAAAAACCCCCTTAGTCTTATAGTGATTTGCAAAATATAGAGATTCAAAACATGATATATTTATTTTAAACTAGAACAAAATAAACACTTTTAGGAATGTTATAGAAGGCTTATTTTACTGCTTAATTGCAAGAGTTTGTACAAAATTTATATACTTTAAGGAGATTACAAACCTCACTATTTGTAAAACAATAAGTGTAAAATAACCTTTTACATATCATTAGTATTCTTATAGATTAGAAGCAAGAGTAGAGCTGTTCTGGAAAGTGTCAGTGGTATTAAGCAATTACGGGAATATTTCATTTCGAAAAATGATTCTCACTTGTGCGAAATACCGTAAAGCCAAACAATCTTGGTTAGTCTTGACCCGACTTGTTAGTGGCGTACCACAAGAGTCTAGTTTGGATCTTGTCTTGCTTTAAATTAGACTGCACTTTACTGAGAAAGAATGTGCAAGATGTGGAATATTACTACTGTATTCATTGCCATAATTGTTAAGCAAATAAATTGTTGTAATTATGCGTAAAAAATTAAATCATGAAAGACAATATTTAAAAACATGTTTATGCCATGCAATAATGTAACGTAAAAAAACGTCAGTTATCCACCATAAAGGTAAAACTAATTATTGATAAGGTTTTACAGATTGGTTTCATTGAATCTGAAAAGCGCTGATAAACTGACCAGGATACTTAAGAGAAATTCAATAAAGGAAATGAGACAGATATGTTATAAATAAATATCACGTTTATTCAAATAAAAAATACTTTGTACAATATGTATATACAGTTAATGGTAACTTCAAAATGAGATTATGGCAAAGCCTGAGTTAAACGTAACTCAAATGTTGACTATATACAAGAGAGTACACAATATTATGTTAATATTTATATCCTCCGTTGGAAGAAAATCCGTTCCCGTTAGAGTAGCCTCCGTTACCTCCCGATAATCTTCCGTTTCCACCGCTGTAGCCTCCGTTGCCGTTTCCACCAGCATAACCACCGTTGCCGTTTCCTCCAGCGTAGCCACCGTTTCCACCACCGAATCCACCACTGCCGTTTCCACCACCGTATCCACCGTTGCCATTTCCACCAGAGTATCCACCGTTGCCATTTCCACCAGAGTATCCACCGTTTCCGTTTCCACCAGAGTATCCTCCGTTGCCATTTCCACCAGCATAGCCGCTGTTGCCATTTCCTCCACCGTAGCCTCCGTTTCCGTTTCCGCCACCGTATCCACCGTTGCCAGTTCCTCCAATTCCATTGCTACTCTCTTTGTAGGTGATGATGGGATGATAACCGTCCTCATCTGCAGTGTACTCAACCTGAATGTCACAAATATTCTATGTAAGCACATATTGATCAAAGTATATGCTGCAAAGTATTAAGTAAATCATGTATTCAATTAATTTAAGAATCTTCAGCCACTTTACTTTTAAGTATAAAACGCCAAACAAAAAACAATTACAGTACATTTTAGGCGTACGATAGTGTAATGTCTCTTTAATTTTTATGACTTAATGGGATCACAGCAAATAGAACCTGACAACCCATGAATATTATGAGTAGGAATTACGTTTCAATAACCTTAACCGTTGTAACTTTGAATAGTACTAGTAGAATATTAATCCTAAGCCAGGTTATATGTGTTTTATGTTAGTGACGTTGAGCGCTAGTGTCGACAAAATGTTTGATATCTTATATTAGGGTAGATTTTGTGATTTTCGCTTTATACCAAACACACTGATTGGTTGTCAAACTAGAGGACGTGCTTTTATTTATAGATAGCTTTATTTGGCGAAAACTTCCTAAGATATGTAAAATAACAAGAAAAAAATAGTGAAAAAGGACACCCTTAGTATGAACCGAGTGGAAGTAACATTGAAATTTCCTTCAGCTTCAGCTGATCCAATAGGATGATACATTCATAAGGGAGTATGATTATTGTTTAATCCACTCTTAAACTTTTACTGGTAATTCATGGGGACTTTTGAGCTCAAACCCTTAAAATATTCAATAAGTGACCACGAAACAACACCAAATCATTATGTTTAGCAAATTTCCTTCCAGGAAGATAGTTTTCAAGAGTTATCAATTTTTATGTAACCAAAATAGATGTTCATACAGCAGCTGTAATCGTTACTGTTTGTTTATTATGCTGAATTGCTGAAGCAACTCTGACCTGCTGGGTGCGGCCGTCGGGCAGCAGCACGTAGTATTTGCCCTGGGCAACCTCATCCTGACGCTGCTCCTGATGACCAAATTCCACACCGTACTCCGGAGCTGACACGTCGTAGGAGAACTCGTAGTTGGCGGGCTCCTGGAACATGAACATGAGTTAGATAAACGAGGGGTTATAGTGCTCCCAGGTCATTTCACATTAGGCTATCAATGAAAAGGTTGACGCTAGAAGGCAAAAAGAATACTGTAGAGATTTACGTAAAAAAGAAAAACACAAAATAAATATAGAACATACACAATAAGGGAACGAAATGGACCCAAGGTGGAAATAATTGTATATAAACTCATGGACAAAATGAATCCAGTTCTAGGGATAATGCATAACTGCTCTAATCTCATTTTAATTCTATCGTAAAGGGTATTTGTAAAAGAAATATGTCCGTAGTTGTAAATAGCTTCATATAGTAATAAAATAAATAAGGGTGTATTAACAGGTGGTAAAGAATATTAAAGCATTAAGAAGTTTGGACGGGGTTTGTATTCGAAATAACTCAGTAGGCTTAGTTGAAAATGTTTTTACGTATGTAATTATGTAGCTTATACTAAATTCGTTTTCGTAAAGAGAGTGAATAATGATTTATCTCCAACTGCCAGTTCCTGGAGAACGCATCCAGGCTATACATCAAGGTGAAAGTTAGTGTATCGTCAAACCCAAGGCGCATCTCCAACAAACTAGTTTTATTTTCAGAATTCAGAGCCCAACTCAAAAGGAAATTGCAATGTAATTAATTTCCTATGTCGATAGTTTTTTCGTTGTACACTGAAATGAGAAGCAATAATATTCATACTAATTTGGAAAAATTACTCTGAAATAAAAAAGATAAGTAACGTTAAAAAAGAATATTGTACTTATTTGTACATTGAACCAACAGGAAAGTATGTGTAGAATTTTTAGTAAAATGCTACTTAAAAAGTGTTTTCCAGTCTAATTGTACGTGGCTTGAACAATAATTTAATTTTAATAAACATTCAAAAATGAATGAAATATGGGTTTAAATTTTAATAATTTAATATTAATCCTTCTTAAAAATTCATAACGTATTTTTGGTAAAACAAATACTTACAGATTGGTCGTCATCCTGTCCATTGCCATTTTTGTAACCATTTCCTCCTGAGTAACCGTTTCCATTTCCACCAGAGTAACCGTTTCCATTTCCACCAGAGTAGCCGTTTCCATTTCCACCAGTGTAGCCGTTTCCACTTCCACTAGCATAGCCGTTTCCATTGCCTCCAGCGTACCCGTTTCCACTTCCACTTGAGTAGCCGTTGCCATTTCCACCAGCGTAGCCGTTGCCATTTCCACCAGCGTAGCCGTTGCCATTACCACCAGCGTAGCCATTGCCATTTCCACTGGCATAACCGTTTCCATTTCCCCCAGCGTAGCCATTTCCGTTTCCAGCAGCATACCCATTGCCACTAGAAAGGCCATTGGCTGCTGTGCCTCCAAAACCGCCACTTTGGTAGCCAGTTCCACTCGTGAGGCCATTACCGTTTCCAGAAGCGTAGCCATTTCCACTGGAGCCTCCAAAGCCATTGACCCCTCTGTATCCACTTCCAGCTCCGGGCGATCCGTATTGGAAGGAAGGTCTACCACCGTTGCCTCCGTTAGGCACGCCGTACCTTCCAGATGGGGAGCCGGCACCACCGTTTCTGGAATGAAGAAAACGGGGTAAAACAAAAACGAAATTTTTACCATAATGATGTCATTATCATGTAGTTGGTTTGATATTATAGTATTACATTTAAGTTTCAACATCATATTAAGAGAGCGAGCTGGTTTAGTGGTTGATCACAGGAATTAATCCAAGTGATAATGCTGCGACCTCTGGGTATAGCCTGAAGTATGAAAGAAATATGAAAGAAACCCGGGCTCGTGCCTAGCGTCCCAGAAAAAAGTATATTTGTGCTGAAAAAATATTTAAAATACTATCAGTCACATAAAACATTGTGTTATTGCTTGTGTCAAGCTAGTAGTTTTTGTGATATGAAAATGGCATAGGAAACCCTCATAAAGGTGCAAAAAAGCTGACGACATGACAAATGATTATATAAAAAATAATAGCTGATGAACAATTGCAACAAAAAATTAATAGCTATTGCAATAAAATCAAGTTCTTTAACCTCGAATAACCTACAAAACTGTATACTAATTCGATTGTAATGGAAAAAATGTATAGCCAAATCTAATGTTCACACTAGAAAATTAGCATAAGCTCAAAATCATGATATAGGCCAAAAATTATTAAGTTTTTTTGTAATAAAAAAAAAACAACATCAACAAGCCCTTTTGACAATGTACTTCGTGGTACACACTTACGCAAATATGACTTATTCAATGTAAAAGGATATTAATAATATTTGAAATAAAGATTGCATTGAACATATGCGTAGGGTATCAAATAGTTTTGGTTTGTGAAGCTAGACTCGACATTTGATTACCATACAAAGAAATAATAACCATAAATAGGCTGAGTAGAAATACAAACCACCAACCTGTAGCCTCCACCCCCCGGGGGTAGGTAGCCGCCCCCTACTGGAGGCTCTGCTATACACGCCGCCAACAAGCATGAAACTACCAATAGAACCTGCAACACCATCGTTGAGTATGAGTCAAAGTCCATTATCATTAATAAAAAAAATCTACATTATTAAAAAAATCTAACACGGTAAAAAAAATCCATTATTATCTGAAGCTCAGAATGTGACATTGTGTGTGGTATCAAATTTCAAACCCTTTTAGGTATAATTTATGCCTCTATTCCACGTTGTTGTTTTGGGTTTGCAATAAAACTGATGACGTCTGCAGGCTGGAAATCTTCGACGAATATATTACACCATGTAACCTGTCACTTAAAGATGGATGCTACTTTATTAGCGAAATACATAGTAAATACTCTAAGAACCTATTGAAAATTTATTTTAGTCATATCATTGACTTTTACGTTGTATAAATAGTGAAAGACCATATTAAATATAGTTTAAAGTCTTAGCGATCTCCAAATTCGTCATCTTTTGCAGCCAAGTATCTTCTATTGAATATTGAACAGTTTCATTAAATTTAAATTTATTCTGTGCATGTATTGAAATTATTATTTTATTTTCAACTACGTATTAAATATTTTCCTAAAATGTTAGATAAAACTGACTTCCTTGACGATTCACAACAAATCATTGGGGAAGAATTGATTAATATAGCCTACAACATAAGTGGCACACTTGTTAACATCTAACCAAGGCTTTATTTTATACAGTAATAACAAAATCTTCAATCATTGTGTTTGATTTCTTTAACGTACACCTGTCCTCACTGTTAGGTACAACATTTGTTGTACCTAACAATCATTACTTAATCATTACTTCTCTTAGTTGATTTTGCAGATGCATTTTGGAATTCAAGAAAAACGATTTATTAATTTTTTACTTTTTATTGCTGCCTATTATTCATACACATGACCTCACTCCAAATAAGGCTGCGATCTGTGCAGTGATATAATTCTCACTGAGGTGAGGTCAGCCATGAATGATCTGAAAGCAGCGTCGTGCATCGTGCCAGACTAGATGCGCGGCCTTGTGACGTCATGCGCGGGGTGGACAACGCATGCGCGGTAACGGCACATGCGCTATACAGGTGATGCGCGGTGCTGTCACCTGGTGACGCAATGTGACACTGTGGGCTACCGGATAATAGCGGGAGAGCGCCACAATCCGGCTTATTTAAAAGTGAAAGAGTTCCTCCAGTTAAGCAACTCCATACAATTGCTGTACGATTTGTTAAGGAGTGTAGTTGTCTGGTTCACACACTTACTTCAGGCTAGACCTAGAGAGTTACGGCATCATCAAATAGATCAAATCCATAGGTAATTTGCGAGACCAAAAATTGGGGAGCGAGCTGGTCTAGTGGTTAGAGCGTGGAACTTCGGTTCCTGGGGTCCCGAGTTCAAATTCCGCCAAATCACGAATGAATTATATCTAAGTTATAATGCCGCAACCCCTAGGTCTAGCCTGAAGTAATGTGAAAAAATAATTCCAGGCTCGTGCCTAGGGTCCAAGGACAAAAAAATGGTAATTTGTGTTATTTGAGCCCGGAACCTCGGGTACCGAAGCCCTGCACTTTTCCGCAAGACCAGATAGCTCACCGATGGTTCAAAATTGGATTCAGTGTTGTTTTTTCATACATCTTATAAAAATATTAAAATGTTCCTACATTAGTACTAAGCAGTAAGCAGCATTTAACAATTTTGCTTTGCGATTTGTTAAAGATGTGCAGATGTAAACAGCCTGTGAGCTTGATAGCTATACATTGCTAATTTACTATACACAACGTATTAGGAGAACCCAGTTTTCCTATAACAAATTGTGTAGACTGTACACAGTTGTAAAATACAATTATCTATCAACTATACCGTGCTCTGTTATCAGGACGTTGCCTGCTAAATCTTGAGAAAGTCAGGGGGTTTAGGCTAGATAGTTTTATACTAAACACTGATGTCCTTGATAACAGGGTGTATTGAAACAATTCACTTAAATTATTGAAAAGAGTTACGTAGATTCCTTAGGTAAAGTTAGGAGATGTACACCTTAAAATCTAGTTTGGCTCTAACAGTTATTTTATACTGACACATTATGACAGAGACTTATATTATTTTATTTGAATCTATATATACAACTACAAAAATGATTAGTTTAGGAAATGCTCATTGCTTGGTTACAAAAAAACTGTTGTTAAAGTATGTTCACTTGATTTTAGTGTTAGGAAACTTATATCAATTACTAGCAGAGTACCCGTCCTTCGTACGGGGTTGGCATATAAGTATCAAATGCTTATAGCAGTTATGAGTGAGGACATGGTTTAAGAAATTTCGGTTCTTTTTGAAGTTCGTTCGCTACGCTCACTCACCTTTAGGTTGGAGCTCGTTCGCTGCGCTCACTTTCCTTCAGGTTAGCTCGTTCGCTACGCTCACTTGCCTTCAGGTTAGCTCGTTCGCTACGCTCACTCGCCTCCAGGTTGAAGTTCGTTCGCTACGCTCACTCACCTTTTGCTGTTGTCATAAATGTAAAAGAAATAATAGTGCTAGTGCTGAACCCTGTTGGTAATCCTTGTAACTTTTAATGCTATTGAACATCATAGAACAGAACCAACTTGTTTAATTGAAACAGCTGTTAAGATTCATTAATTCCATTTCTCATAAGGTTAACATGGGAAACTCCAGAGCCACTGGGGCGGAGCCCCGAAGGATTTTTTGGGATAAAAATATGCCTATATGTTAATCGGGAATGTGAGCTATCATCATGCCAAATTTCAGCCCGATCCGACCAGTAGTTTTTGAGATTAGCTCATACAAACACACACACAGACACCACCTCTTCTTTATAATAGTATAGATTTGTCTACCGATAAATTCAAATACCTGGAAATATACAGATTTTGAAGTTATTCTACTATTACCATAAAATACAATAGCGTTTGGCTGTTTATCAGGTGTAAAAAACACCGCATTTAACGTTATATTCAAACTATTTGTATTATATAACCTAGATTTTTATTTTAACATCTAATGACTATGATATCGTGAGATGTAAATATTACGACTTAATCTATCTTATTGCCGATACACAACTAAGAATCCTTTATTTGTTTTGTACTTTTAAATTTTTACTCTCCGGTAATTTCTAAAATTATTTTGAAATGAAATATCTGATAATAATGCAAGTTAATGTATCTTATTATTAAAATAAAAACCTCTTGGGTTAGTTTTTATTCAGTTTAATAAACGTTACTACGAGACCATTAAACACAATAATTCTTTGAACAGCACTATCACAAAAATTATATTTGAAAACAAAGTAATACATTATAACTTTTAGGTATAGTAGGAGTTTTACCTACAAAAATCCATCGGCTGTCTGTTAAAGTTTTTAGGTTTTAAAATGCATTACCATTGTCTTTAAATGTAATAATAATAATAATAATAATAATAATAATAATAATAATAAGTCTAAAATGTAGTATAATGAACAAAAAAAGTTAAGTATTACTGACTGAATTAAGTTAAGTAATGGTTATAAAGGTCAATAATTATATACTATAAATAAATGTTCATTATTATTATTGCATACGTTTTTGTTTTAATTTGTTTACAGAATTATTATTTGTTGTATACTAATAAGTATTAAGACTTTTTGTTGTAGCATAGAAAACAAAATATAATTTTAATTTCCAATGACTTAGCTAGTGGGCTGTTAGTGACCTTTGATACAAGTGCCCATAACCTTGTCAATACTAACCACATAATGGCGATTACATTTAGGATAAAAAAATTTTACTGTTCGCTGTAGCATACAGGGTTTTTTTAGGTTTAATAATTATTACCTGTAACTACTAACTACTACTTTGTAAAACACTCTATTATTGTTAAATGTATGTAGTAGTATAATTTGATTTAAAGTGACCTGTTATATACTTGGTATAATTAGTTGATTTATCACTTAAAGGCATTGTTCTATTATATTACACGCTTTTATTTTTTAAATATTAAATAACTATCGAATTTTTTTTTAAACCACAGTTAAACATTCCATTATTTTTGTTAATACCTCGTTGTACGTAAAGCAATAATGAAAGGAATCTTTTTTAATTACAGTTATTTTATTTGTGTTATAAAAGTTGAAAACTTTTGTATCTATAAAAAAACCCACAACTACTCATTTTAAATTTTAAAAATCAATGAACCTATAATTATGATGCTACATATAATTTATCACGATCTTATCATACAATAAATTATCTTATCAGATAACTTAGCCAAATGTAAGCAAGTGTAGGCTTACCTTAGCCATGTTGAGCGTGTGCCAGAGCGTCGTCCAGACATGTTTATATACTAGACTAGATCAGACAGCTGAGCGGGGGTGGTGGGGGTGGGGACTGACGTCATACGGCCCAACTGGGATCTGCCTGTGAAAATGCTTACAGGATAATTAGGGTTACGAAACGGGCGATAGTCATCAGTGTGGTCCAGATTGCTACATCGGGAGACTTCGGGCATCTTCGCTAACGAGGGGTGGGGGGGTGTTGACCGGGGGCAAGGTCACGTGACGGGGTCCTTCAGGGGACTAGGATGGCACCCTCAAATATGAGTTTGATTGGTGTCATTGTTGGGAAATAGGCCATTGGGGACTCTTGGTGAAGATGATACTATGTAGATGGTAGAACTGATAACTATGTCTCTTTTCGTATTATAAAGAGTTTAACAATTAAATTTGAGTAAATTTGGACCCCCAACTCAAAATAGTCAGTGAATAAATACTAGGATAATAACTTTATATGTGACTTCTTAGTATAGGAGGAAAAGTTCTGTAATCACAAATTTATAATGAAAGAAAGGACATATTGATGTATCCATGGTTGATATAATGTGTGTATACTCTGAATATTTAGTTGTGATATGTTAACATTGTAAAATATAAGTAGATTAATTTGTCCTTCTGGTTTTAAATTTACGTCGAAGAAATAATGAGAGTAAAAAAGTCCAGATGCATTAGCTCTATATGTTAAAGCTGTAGTTAAAATAAAATATAACCTTTGGAAGATCCCCAAGGGCACAAATTAAATGTGACAAAGATTTACAAAAATTAAGTTTAGTTTTACCTGACCTACTGACAACCTATCCTTTGCAGTTATTAAAACAGCTTTATACTCAAAGACTTCCTTAAATGTGAGTCTTCTTCAAGCCGATATGAAAAACTTCATAACCAATAATTACAGATGACTAAAATAAATATTTATGGGTAACTTACCTCTGAACTAACCTAACTCTGAACTAACCTCTGAACATTTATATATTTTAACTAATATCAATTTAAAGGATCATCATGATTGTGCTTATGTAGTGTTCCTTGTTAAAATTATGTACGTATATGAGTGAAATACGTCCAGAATATTTAAGTATCAAATCAATATATTTGAAAGCACCCAAACGTACCGTGATAACTATATGACAAATTCGCTCATATAGTCTCTATAATTCCCCAGACTCCTGCCGTTGTGTTTGGTAATTTTTTTATGCATATACTAACCATTGTTAGACTAAGAATGCCTCTAAGTCCCAAAATAGTGGTATCAAACTTCTGTACAAGCATTATATTTTGACATTATTTTAAAAATAATGTCTTCAAAATGGGTGTTCGCATAATGGTTGAGTCGTGGTTCTGTCGGGTATGATTTACGGGACTGCCATTACCTCAGTCGAGGTGTTAAGTGATCAGGAGATAAGGATGTTCTAAAATTGATAATTTGAGACCACCTTGGTGCGAAATTTTGACCCCGATGTTGAAATTGAGTTTCAAAATTTATAATATAACAACTAGTATGGGTAGGGTTTAAAATAGTTTTACTCGCTCTTACTCGTGACAAAAACATGTACCTACAACTAAAAAAAATTGCTCTGTTTGTAATGTTTACCTCAAAATAATAAATTATTATCGAATTTTTTTCGTCAAATATCGAAGTATATGCCCTATTGTTATAATCTCTAAGGGAGTGATTGGT